TTTTTTTTTACAACAATTACTATTGGAAGGGTGTTTTCCTGAGTACTGGCATGCCATCTGTTAAAACTTCAGTCATCATACTGTCACAGAAATATGGCCAAATGTAAGCTGTCCATCTGCTGAAGTTAAATATTAAAGCAACTTAATGGAAGCATTAAGTCTAACCACCCTCTCAAATACGTTTGGGTCTTAATATGGCATTTCACAATTTGGCTTCTAATGGGAAAAATAGATAATATACCATGATACAAAGAAAAGTATTTTCTTTACACAGCTGCTTACCAGAATTCAAGACCTGTTATACACAAGCTTTTAATAAAAACTATCATTTGAACAGGGAATGCTTTGAAATGTAATGTTTTTGCAAATGCACTCTCAGTCCTATTTAACTGAAAAAACTTCAGTTCTATTTGAGTTTATTATATTATCCCACTTTACAGATAAAAGTTATCATATTTAATGCCAACTTTTTGATAAAGCTACTTGATAGTTCTGTAACTGGGCAGATAACATAGGCAGAGCCTCAGTTTCCGCATTTTGAAGACAGACATACGAATACAGGGCTGACTTGTTTATCTCAAAAAGCTGTTGAATGCAAATTTTGTTGCTAAAAGTTGGGCTAAAAGTTGTTATGAATGCTTTGAGAAAACCGGCAATAGTTAAACAGGTAGGACAGCAATTGTTATCTGTAAAGTGTTAGATTGTACCATACTTTATACAAGATTTTGCCTCCCTGTTGTGTCTTCCAGATATAACAAATAATTTTATTAACTGGGTGATTCTGTTGTAAAATTTTAATATCCAACACGTGTTAGTCTCTGATATATTGTTCAAAATCTGATTTATGAAATATAAGTGCATTAACTATATAAAGCCTATTACAATTTATTTAAAACAGATGATAGAACAAGGAAAACATTTCATACAAATAACACCTCCTGAAATCAAGACAGGACCCTGAAGGCTACCATGAAGGGGAAATGTGAGTTTCCACACTAACCACTTAAATTCTAGTAAGTTAGTACAGAAAGGGACTTCAGATATTAGCTGAGTCCACTGGCCTCCAGACTTGTTTTGGAACCTCACATTTACCCACATTTCAGATCACAAAAATGTAAAGTGTAAAAGTACCCTGCCCTGGAGGAAGTCATAAAGGCAGAACACGCATATGCCCCATCTCAGTTGTGCTGCTACAGAGGCTTCTGGGAGACAGAACTTCCAGGAATGTAGCTTGAATAACAGCTACCAGGACATAATCCAACCCCTTTATTTATTTATTTTTTTTGTTTATTGCACATTTCAGATCACAAAAATGTAAAGTGTAAAAGTACCCTGCCCTGGAGGAAGTCATAAAGGCAGAACACGCATATGCCCCATCTCAGTTGTGCTGCTACAGAGGCTTCTGGGAGACAGAACTTCCAGGAATGTAGCTTGAATAACAGCTACCAGGACATAATCCAACCCCTTTATTTATTTATTTTTTTTGTTTATTGGAAGAAGCATTTCATTACAACACCATTAACCTATTCAATAACATTTTTCTGAGCTAGGGTACATCTCTTTCAAAACTGGCTGTATATTTTTAGGTTTACAGATGAATTATTACGCTTGTACAATCTTTTACTCATTATAAACTCTATAAGACATAAAATTAAATGAGGTTTTAACATTTAAAAAAGATCTCCACTTCATT